GTTAGATGAACTATAAGAGTTATATTCTCAGAATATTGTCCTAAATACAAATATTCTGTAGCACTTACGAGTAGTTCCTAATTGGTTGATATAGGCCATTATATCAACCAACGAAGACGCGCCACGACAGACGCACGCAATGAGTGGTGAGCATATATTTGATTTACACATTTGTATTTAGACATAGTTAAACGAAGATAAATAGTGATTTTTTGCAGACATTAACTATTATAAATACAGTTCTACTTTTTACTTTAACCAAGTACTCGCTTCTTCTTACCGTCTTCCTCTGCACGTACGAGTGTACGTGAAGTTCCGAGGCACTGCCTCATTCTGTCATCAAAATAAGTAGCTTGTACTGTCACCAGTACAAGCTTCAGGGTGCCCCGTTACATTGGTCGGTAGCACAATATGTGACTTCTTCGAGGTTTCAATCTCCCTACCCAACAAACCAGCAATCGTGCTGCTAGGTCCACAGAAGAATCAAAACAATGTCCAACAGAGACGAGCTTGTAAAACACTACATTTCACCGCAAGGATTAATAGTATAGAGTCGGAAGCTACAATGTCATTCGCGTGGAGCAAGTTGACTTGGAACTTACGCCCCTACCTTTTGATCGACGTCACATTCAGCCAGTTCTCCCTCGGCAGCACCAAGATGCGTACGTCGTAGACCGAGGGCGACGTGCATTTCCCCTCACGACAGTAGCCCAAATCAATGTCCTGGTCCACGGGGCAGCCCTCCACTTGGTACGTGCGGTTCCTTCCAGCCAGAAACTCCAACGATATCGTCAGATATTCACTAAAGCAGATCCGTGTGGTCACGTCCGCATTGTACGAGCTCGGGTGGCATGCAGTCGTTGTCAGGAACGCGACTTCGTCTATGGTCATTGGTCGCGGATTGTAGTAGGCAGGGTCGATCGTTCCAGTAACCTGAGGCTGCCCCATGGAATCCTCAAGATCGTCAAATGCAGCAATCGAGGAAGATAGAGCCAGTCCAGTGAGTAGAGCAACCGAGCGGATGTACGTCATGTCAATGGAGGAGGTCGGATTGTGGACGGATAGAATCACGACTGCAGAACTTGAGTTGGAGTGTGGTCTCAGACGCGAAAGTTGAGAAGTGTCTGTAGCCTCACGTCTAGCAGGAGAGGGGGGCGCCCATCCTTTTTGCGGCATCACGAACGACACGGAATGCGGGAATCGGAAAGAACAGAACATCTGCGAAATGCTGAGCGAAATATTCGGCCGCTGTTCGATTGTTACCAGAATTGGGTCGCTTCGTACCAATGGCTCTCCGGCTGCATGCTCCGGTTGCAACGCCTTCGTTATCACGACAAGAGCGCTCTGAGCGTGCCTTGTACGATCTCGGTGGGTGAAGCTTCGGCCTGTGTGTAACGGGGCACCCTGAAGCTTGTACTGGTGACAGTACAAGCTACTTATTCTGATAACAGAATAAGGCGGTGCCTCGTAACTTCACGTACACTCGTACGTGCAGAGGAAGACGGTAAGAAGAAGCGAGTACTTGGTTAGAGTAAAAAGTAGAACTGTATTTATAATAGTTAATGTCTGCAATAAATCACTATTTATCTTCATCTAACTATGTCTAAATACAAATGTGTAAATCAGTTATCTGCTCACCACTCATTGCGTGCGTCTGTCGTGGCGCGTCTTCGTTGGTTGATATAATGGCCTATATCAACCAATTAGGAACTACTTGAAGTGCTACAGAATATTGTCCTTATGACAATATTCTGAGAATATAACTCTTATAGTTATATTCTATTAACAATTTCTTATAAATTGTTATGTAACGATTCACCCCGTTACATCACCCCCCTTAACCATCAGTCACTTTAGTGACTGATTGACTAAATGGATACTCGTCCCAAATCATTTGGGACGGGGTTTGCACTTGTTGGTCCGCGTCCACTTTCCAACATCTCATCGCATGGTAAACAAGCCCATGCGATGCGCGAGCAAGGCCGCCGAGAGCGCGTCTGCACGTCTCTGTGCGGACGCCGAAGCAGAAACTACAGCAACTGATGTCCCATCGGTTGCTGAATCGACTCAGCCTGTATCACCTGGTGATGCAGGCGCTGGTCATGAAGACACTCGTGTCTTCACAGAGTACGAGCTCGGTGTCTCATACTCTCCTGATACGGATGACGGATCCGTATCGACGGCAATTGAATCCAAGCCGCCTGCCAAGCGTGGCATGGACGATGCTTTGCGTCGCAGCATCTTTGGTTCATCTGATGAGTCAGATGAACCATCGCCGAAGCGAAGGCGCTCGAGGTCGCGAGACTCGGGCGCTTATAGTGGTGTCGTTTCTCCAATGGACACCACTTCACAGCGAGGTGCCAGTACTTCTGTCGGCACTTCGCAGGAAGAGCGGGACCGCAATGTGTTGCGTCTCGCTCCAGAAAAGAAGGCATGGATGCCTCCTAAATCTGTCATGGATCACTTGTCGGCGACGACGAGTGATCGTTATCGAACACGATTGTTCGATTCGTCGAGGATTCATCACCTTGACCCCAGCGCGAAAAACTATCGCGCTGAACATGAGTTCTTCATCGATGCTTTCTTCAGACATCGATGGTACAGTGGGAATCACAAACGTGATGGTCCCTCACTACTTCAGGCGTGGAACGCCTACATCCATAATCTCGAGGATGTAGGTCGTGACGCTTGGAACGACAAACTTATCAAAGCTCGTGATAAGTTTGAAAAGCGAACCCCGACAGGTGCACGCTATAAGCTGCATCGTCTGTCAAGGGAGAAAGGATTACCCTGCCTCTCTTGGGGAGACTCGTGCCCATGTTGTGTGAACAACTCTGCACGAGCACCTAAGGAGGCTTACCTCCTTACCAGCCCGTGGTGGCGCGTACGTGTCTCTACTGAGATGTACGAAGGGATTGACAACCTGAAATCCCTTTACGACCGTGCCGGGAAGACTTTCTCCGGCGGTCCTTCTGCGGCACAGGATGTGTCGCGTCGTACTGCTCGACCAGACCCAGTACGTCAACCATCAATTGGGAGCGGGGCTCCCAAGAATCCCAGGACGGGGGATAGCCGCGCCACCGGACGAGGTAACTCGTCCGACGTCCGTTCACGTCGCGGTGGTTCAACAGCTGCTCTACTAGATAGCGCTGGCCACCGCGAGAGTCCTCTAATGGAGGTGGAGGAGGAGGAAAGACGCTCTCCACACGATCATGTGGATCGGTGTGTTCCCGAGAGCTTCTTTGATCGCGTAACGCAAGGGTTACGCGACGATCTCGAGCATGAGCGGAATAGGCGTCTCCAGATGGTGGACACTGCCTCGAAGCATCGAGCTGAGTTTGCCTTTGCTCAGCTTGAGAACGAGAGATCTCTGACATCTCTTCGTGACGAGCTAAGGGTAGCTCGTGGGATTGTTGATCGGTCTCGGGCTGAGATAACTGCTCTTCAGACCCTTGTTGATGCCCACCATCGGGAGCACAAGGCTCTCTGCGAGATGCTTGAGCGCAAGGGCGTTCTTCATCGGAAGAAGCAGCGTACTGATGGTACGGCTTAAGCCGACCAACGTAAAACGTGGGATGCGTTCGCATCTTACGTGGTAACTCGATCGTGTATGCATTGCCTAGGCGGTGCAATACACGAAATGGGCCAATGTACTTGGGTAGTAGTTTACTGCTACCCAAGTTAGTCACTACATGTTTTGGTAGATTAACCGTAGACAGTAGGACTAAGTCACCTTTATTAAATAAAAGAGTGTTTGCCCTTCCATTCTTGTCAGCGTTTTGCTTTTGCTTATCCACCGCTTCGGCGATGGAGTCTTGCACAAAACGGACTACCGTTTCACGAGCCAGTATGAACTCATCTGATGACTCGTTAGCTTCAGTGTGCTGTGAGCGCACTGCAGCGACAACAACCTTTTCTTCAGTGAGGGCTTCCGCACTCTCACTGGGATCATTGTCTTCAGTGAGGGCTTCCGCACTCTCACTGGCATCATCTTCTTCGATATCGATGTTATCGATATCGGCATCAAACGCAATGACTTCTTCGTCAGAGCATGATGAGCGTGAACCAAATCGGTTTTTGCTCGCGCGAGTCCCTCCCCCCCTTAAACCAGAGTTACACTCTAGTAAGGTGGGTACACGCGGATGGCGCAAGCCGTTCACGTAAAACGGTGTATGTGTCGTGGACGCATGCACCGAGTTGTTGATGGCAAACTCTACCATCGGCAAAAACTCACTCAAACTTTTAAAGGAGTGTACGTATCCTCGAAGTATCTCTTCAAGGACACGATTGGCACGTTCCGTCTGACCATCTGACTCTGGATGATCAGATGTTGACATCTTCAAGCGCGTTCCGAGTGATTTGAACACGGAACGCCAGAAATCAGCAGTGAATCGTGGATCTCTGTCTGATACGAGTTCACGGGGCAACCCATGAAGTCGGAAGATGGTGTCAATAAAGACACAAGCACAGCCACTTGCCGTGATTGTCTCTGGTACAGCCACAAGGTGTACCATTTTGCTGAATCTGTCAACAAATACGAGAATACCCGTATTCCCGCGTGCGTCTTTGGGTAACCCGAAGACGAAATCCATTGAGATGGATTCCCAGCACTCCGCCGGAACCGGTAGAGGCTGTAAAGGTGCACGCAATGAAGGACTTGACTTCACTCGTTGACAGACTTCGCATGCGCGAACATACTTTCGCACAAACTGATACTGGCGGGGCCAGTAAAAGTCTCGACTCACCGTGAGATATGTTTTCTCTCGGCCACGATGTCCTCCTATAGGAGCATCGTGATACTCGAACATGATCCGCAAACGCAGATCAGTATCATCTGGAATGACAACACGTGGTGTGTCACCAGAAACGGCTGTATAGTACAGTAAACCGTTACGAGTAGTGTATCGATCTGATGCAGATCGATACGCAGACGACAATCGTTTCAACGATTCTCGAGATGGTTGGGAGAGATGTGACAACAACTTCACTATCTCACCATCTTGGGCGTATGCCCGCCTCACATCATCATACAACGTTGTAGATGGAACTGAGGACGTCATAACCGCAACAGTGACTGTCTCACTGTTGGGTTTCGCGACTGTTTCAAAGTCGGGACGACGTGAGAGTGCATCAGCGACGACATTAAGTCGTCCTGGTTTGTACTCTACCGTAAAGTTGTATTCTGCAAAGAATGACAACCACCGCGCCATTCGTTGAGAAAGGTGCGGGCTGTTCACTGCCGTGCGTAAGGACGCATGGTCAGTGTAAACAACGAAGGGTCTATCTCCTAATAGATAGACTCTGAACTTCGCGAGTGCATACTTCATGGCAAGGAGTTCCTTGTCATGCACTGGATAGTTCCGCTCAGCTGGTTGCAGCTGACGCGACTGATAGCAGACGACGCGTTCAACGCCTTCAAGGTCGTACTGCATTAATGCACAGCCGATTGCGAAATCGCTGGCATCACAGACCACATGAAATGGCCTGTCCTGATCGGCTATTGCTAGGACTGGGGATTGTATCAAGCTCTGCTTGATACCATCAAAGGAGCGCTGACATTCAGCGTTCCATAACCACCTCTCGTTCTTTTTCAACAAACGAGAGAGGTGC